AAATACAATGGGAAGTTTCCATCCCCCCCCCCCCCGCCACACAGAGGCAATCATCTCTACCAAAGCAGCATTCCCTGGGAGGTTGTCCGGCAGGGGCAGACCCCTGCTGTTTCAGGTTGTCCCGAAGCTAAGGAAGAGATGGGAGCCATGAAACTGAGGGGGAAGGGGAGAGGCAGGAACTCAGCGGCCAAGAGACAGAAATCACAAAGGCGGGCTCCGAGTTCATTCATAGAGGTGGGCTCCACTCGATCTGGGCCACTGACCCACAAAGCTGCCAGAGAGCAGACCCACCAGCACCTAATTGGGTTTTTAAAGGGCTTTATTTCCAAGGAAATGTTTATGGCCTGGTATTCCATGGCCTCTACAGAAATTCTCAGGCTTCCTCCCCACACCTCCTAGGACCCCAACAGGAAGAGGGCCGCCACGTGGGCACACCACCGGAACATCCGGCTGCAGGGCAGAACCAAGGGTTCCCGGACTGGTTGACCAGAAACCCACGCCACCACCGGGGCAGGGACTGCTTGCATGCTCCTATCTACTGGGCAAAGTAAACTATTTGGACGAGTGATCACTGCATACAGTTTTCCCTTCTCCGTTTTCCCAAATGGCAGTTGGTGACCTGCAATGCCTCAGTTTCCTCAACTGTAAAGTGGGATCATATTCATATTTTCCACATGGGATTGCTGTTTAAGGGTTAAATAAAGTAAATAAAATATCCTTTCCATATCTGGCAGAGTCGGTGCTTCATTAGTGTTGTGTATGAAATAGTTCAATTCTTCACCAAGTTAGAGATTTGTCAGAACACAGTAGTCACCCACGGACTTCAGAGGAATAAATAAGCCCTTACAGTCCTGGACCTTGGACTCAGTGAGCTGTGATGCCACCTTCAGATACAGCAGCTAGATGTGACTTTGTATTGTTTTCGTTGGAGAAAAGCTGGGTGTGTCTTTGGCTTTTAATGGGGTAGTAGTGTATTTCAGCTGGATCATTATTAAAATTGTGTGTATAAGGAGGGCACGTGTGTGCACACGTGTTCCTACACTTAGCCAAAGGATAGAAGGGAATGGGCATGCGTGGGCCACCACCTAGTAACTGACGGACCCCCACGTTGTGACACTGATTCAGCCTCACAGCCAATCAGTCATAACGAACACAATAGGAAGGCGAGAAGTTGTGTGTTTCAGTTTTCTTGGAGTGAGGGGTGCTTTAAATAGTGGGAAATGTTAGAAAACACACGGAGGAACAGATTTGGGGGGGGGCAAAATTGCTAAACTGTGGAATTCAGACTTCATTAATGCTTTCATCCAGAATTATAAGGATGCAGAGAGCCTCCTCGCAGAGCCATCGTCTCCAAACGCTAGAAGCTCTCACAACCAGCGCAGTCTTTCGGCTCTTCCTCCATCGGGGCGGCCACCTCTCCTCTAATTGGCTCCCGGGGTGTGAGTCTGGTCGTCCCAGCCAATCAGGAGCTCCCACCCGCAGGGAGGCGGGGACCTGGCTCACTCCGCCTGCCTCCTCCCAGCCCCGGTGCAGCCCCCAGTACAGAGCTGGTACTTACCGAACCACCACCGCTGATTCAGAACTACTTTATTCAAAGAGATTTTCTTCTGTAGTTCTAGTCATAAACACAAAACGAATGCTGTCTGAGTGCTTCAGAGGCATCACTGCATTTGAATGAATCCTGTGATACGTTTACATTTTAAGCTGCACTTGAAATTGAAGACTCAATACAAGCTTTTTTAATAAAGAATCAGTCATAACAAAACATAGCTATTCATTCTACAGATTATTTTTCCTTAAATGACCACTAGAAACAAAAACATTGTTAGAGACATCTAAAGAGCCCCTATTAAGTTTAAGGGGAAAAAAATGACACGATGCAAATTACATTTTTTTCTTTACTAGTAATAAACTGGGACATTGATTTGACAAAGCACCAGCCAACCCTACCAAACTCATGTCAGCACCCTTTTGCAACTCAAAATTGACCATCATTGACACTTAATCTGTAGGAAAGGATAAAAGTGGTTATGTCAAGTGCAGAAGTCAGCCTGTGCACAGCCTGTCAACTGGTGTGTATTTTATGTTGCGTTCCTAACTTAATACCAGAAAATAAAAAATACTCTTATGTGAATGAAACATACCCCTTGATAATTATCACAAAGGCAAAATCAACTGACTTTCTGTCAGGGCTAGTGTCTTAACGTCCATTTCTCTGAAAGTACTTTTTATGGGAGTGTTTTAAAGGCATAGGTATAAATGCACATGTGAACAGCCTGCTTCTCTCCGGGTACTTCCTTCCAAGCTCTACTCCTCCTTTTCACGGGATGGAGCAGCTAAGCCCACAGGTCCAAGGCTGTGGAGACTAGTAAGTACTTCTAAATAAAGCAGATCTCATACCATCTTTTCCTGAATAATGAAGTACAGAGAAAACTATGGAAAGCAGTGAGGAAAAAAAAGCATACTGCGAAAAACAAAAACAAAAACAAAACAAAAACCATAGCATGGGATATTCAAATTTAGAGGAAAGCTGGTTTATGCTGCGCGTTAGTAAACCATAAGGTAGTGGACAGACTGGGCCAGGACTGAAGCGGCAGGAAGGCCAGGGAGCCCCAGGGAGCCGACAAAGATGGCATCTTTTAGATGGACCGTCTACTTATCATCATCGTGGCAAACCTCACAAGGCGGTGAGCTTTTCAAGGGCAAGGATGGTGGCTTACTTGTGTCTGTATCCCTGCTTCTTAGTGCTTTCTTGCACGTGATAGACATTTGATAAGTATTTCTGGGAACCTGAATCAGCTCACTGCTTTCAAAGTCATTTTGGGTGATGTCTACTCACCTAATTCACTCACTCCTCTGCCTAAGGCAGGGATGACAAAAGACCTCATCTCACTCTGATGGCTGTAATGGATGCTTAGAAGCATTAATGACATGGACTCTGAGACGAATTCCCAGCCTGAGGGAAAGGAGCGCCGCTCATTCACAATGCCCCTCGAAAGAATGGTGGCACAGATGTTACGCATCCCACATCCCTGCTCCAGGAGAAAGGTATCCAACAGCTCACCCGTATTCCCCTCCTGTTGCTACACTGTCTCGCAAGTGCTCTGCATTGCTGGTTGGCCAGGAAGGCCAAAGCCTTTCCACTTGATTTACCTGTGCAGCCAAACAGGTAGGGTCATGACTTTACCTGGAAACCTGAGAACACAGCATCCACCATGCCCTAGAAGTAATGGTTTATGGAACAAGAACAGGCATTCACTTGATTACTCTCTTGGAAAAGAGTGAGCTTTGTCCATCTCAGTACAACTTTAATTGATATCTAAGGCATTTGGAATTACTTAGGATTTTGGTTCAAAAAAAAAGGCAGGGTTAAATTCTCTTTGGTATTCATGCTTAATCTTCATCTACTTGTTTCTTACTAGTATCCATAACCTTCTCAGTGCTTCATTATGAAGATTTAAGTAATACTGTTGAAATAATCAACTCCTACACATTCATCAGAAAAACTTTTCAGAGGCCTCTGAAACTAAGGGTACAGAAAAGCAAGCCAGGAAGAATGACAGGAGGAACTAACGACTTCCCTCCACAGTTCACACCAGGACTCACCCTGCCATGTGAAATGGGCTGCCCCGTGCAGGGTGGTCACCACTGGGGTCCTCCCAGTAACTCCCCTCCCCACAGTGGGAGGTCAGCACCCTCAGAAGCACCTCAGAAAAGAGGAAGAAAGGATTTAGAGAAGGAGAAAATAAAGGGAGCCTTTCAGAACAACGTTGCCTTCATCACAGGCAGAGTCTTCAGTATAACATCAGCACCAGGGAGGTGGGGGCCAAATTAAAATTACCCTCAAAATGTCAACACAGCTGATGTGCCCAGCAGGACGGATCATGTCCCAAATCCGCAGATCTGCCTTATTGCACTTTCCACTTAGCCTAAGTACTGCTGGCAGCCCCGAGAAACTGTCTTGTTAGGAGTCTGTGTATCTTAGAGAGAGCTTAATATGCCAGATTCAGACACACAGATAGGCACATGTACACACATCTAACCTGGTTTATAAAAAGAGCTTTGCGGATCGGAGTACGCCTTCACTTGGCCCAAGAAACTAATTGTCAGCATTAGGAAAACAGATCCAAGAATGCAATCAGGAAGAGAGCTAGTTGGCAGGAACAATACTGTATTTTATATAATGTGGGTATTTACCAGCTAATCTCCAATTGTTTGTCCAGAACGAATTTAACCGACTAGAATCTGCCGAATATATAAGGTTAAGCCTTAAAGGCGCTAAGATTTGTAGCAACAAAAGTTAACACTATCTAAAATAAATTAGATTTTTAAATATATGTCATGAAATTACAAGTCACTGGAAATTCAATTCTATAGTGAATATAAATTAATATAAATCTATTATTAAAGGACCATTCCCAGGAAGATTTCAGTTGCGTTTTTAAAAGAAAGAAGACTAAGTATTTGAGAATAAATGGATATGGCTTGGAAACCCTTAAATAGTGTTGTACGTTAAATCAGTGATACTGATGAGATTATTTGGTGACAAGCGACAAAGATCTGTCTCCATGTCCACAATAAAGGCGTACCGCATCTTACCTAATAGAAAAGCTGTGCCACTATCATGTTTACAACCAGACCTTTATTTTTAAATCCATGAGGAGGTTACGATTGTAAAGAAACCCTGCAGTGACGCGTTGGATAAACTGAAGCACTGGTAAAGCCATCGATGTTCCTGTCCCACATGTGCATGGAGAATGCACGCCGGCGGCACTCGGCCAGTGTCTGCTGCGTGCGTGGACTTGCATAACAGTTTTTGTTTTTCTAGGACTTTCTTAAAGTGAGGCATGCTGGAACTGGAATGTCAGGACAGAAAGATGGGACCCAGCTCACGGTTTAAACTGATTCCACTGCAGAAACATCAGAAAATTTCAGAACGTGTTTTTCAATCAAAATGAAATCTCCTTCCGTGAGTGGACACAGGCACACCTCATTGTGAGGCGCTTCACTGCACTGCACTTCAAAGACATTGCTTTTTTTTTTTTTCACAAATTGAAGCTTTGCGGCAATCTTGCCTTATCAGATATGATGGTTAGCTTTTTTTTTTTGGCAATCAAGTATTTTTTTTAATTAAGGTACACACATTGCTTTTTTAAGACATAATACTGTTGCACACTTAACAGACTACAGGATAGGGTATCCTTCATATGCACTGACTGGGAAACCAGAAAATTCACAACTTGCTTCATCTGATCGCAGTGGTCTGGACCCCAATTGCAATGTCTCCGAGATATGCCTGCATATCTTTCAGGAAATGCTGATCTATGAATGGCAGAAGTCTTTATTCACTGACAACGGACTCGCTATAAACAAACACCTGCTCGAGCTGGGTTCTACCTAATTTAACAACCAAGGCAAGTAGAGCACCTCACTGAACTTCAGAAATCTCACCAAATGCCACTTCAGCCTCAGGAAGGGGCTCATCCCCTGTCACCAGCACAAACATGTCAAAGCTGTCCTGACTTTACCCCATAAAAGCATAAATTTAAAAAACCAAGATTAAATCAGAAAGGTGCCTGACCTAAATATAATACATTTCATGCTTAAAATAAGAACTAAGTCAAATACATTCAATATAAGTCAACTCTTAAAGGCAATTTCTTTTTCCTTATTTGGTGCTTCCTTCCTTTCCCATTTAAATGTAAGACTCAATTTTAAAAATATAGAGGTCCATCCTTTTGAACAATATATCCTCTCTTAAGCCATACAGAATGCCTAGCAGTGCAACTCATCTGATCACATAAATCTGCAATCTGTTACATACATGAAATACCTTCCTATTTACTCAGCATTCATACATAACTGGGAAAAAAGACTGGGGAAAAAAAGACTGAGAATGTCTTTCTGCAGGTTTGGAGGAGGACTGGAATGCTGGGTTCCATTGGTGCACACTTCCTGGAAAGCTGTGTGTAAATAAAATACATGAACATAGAACCCTGTTTTAAACACATTGGAAGTACATGTGCGTGTGACTTGGGGAGAAAAGAGGAGAAACATAGTGTTAATATGTTTGTCAAGTAAATTAACAACCAAAAAAACAAACAAAAAAAACCTTCTCACTTAAGGTGTCACTATTTCAAGTGATCTAAACAAAGCAGACTTTAAAATCGTCTTTACCATTCATGTGAATTATTGACTTTGGCCCTTTACTAAGCAGACACAATGAATCTTCTTTTTTTGAGAATCAGTTTCAGTCACTGGCCGGAGGGGTATCCTGCCTGTGTGAAAACATTACCATGGATTTATTTGCTCCCATAATTTAAAAATCAAGCATTAAAAAAATAAACAAGTTGGTCTCTTTTCTCCACAAGTTTTCAAGTAATTAGTTCAAGTAAGCTTATGTACAGCTTTTGTATATGTGGCCTAAAATGCACATTTTTTCCCTTTAAAAATTGGTCTCTTTTGAAATTGGACACTATATGGGGGGCGGGGGGGCGGGCTTTGAACCAGGTTTCTCTTAAATACTTAGCATGTAAGACACCAGGTCAGCGCAGTCATGTTTCTGCCTTCTTGGGCAGGTAGAGGGAGGAGACCAGCAGGTTGTGGCCGAAGGCGGGGAAGCGCCGGAAGGCCTCCCAGCTGTCAGAGAAGATGTTGTACTTGAGGAAGACGCGATGCTCCAGGCTGGTGGACAGCGTCACGTCGCGGCTCATGATGTAGATGCCGTCGTTGTGCAGCGCGCACGTCAGGTTCAGGCCCGACTTGGACGTGTTCTCCTTGAGGCAGAGCCACCGGCGCGTGGCCGTGTTGTAGGACTGCACGGCCAGCGTGTCCTCGCTCTGGCCGCCCCTGCGGCCCGGGCCCAGCTCGTGCAGACAGCCGCCCACGATGTAGATGGTCTCCTCCACCGACACCATCTGCTGCTTGCGGATGTGCACGGCGCACGTCTCGAAGAGCGTCCAGAGGTCGGCGGAGGGGCAGTACTGCAGGATGCTCATGTTCCGGTCTGCAACGCAGAGAGAGGGGCCCGGTCACGCCCCGGCCGCCCGGGCTGTCACCCGCCGTCTGCTCCGCCCGAAGGGTCTGGGCGCACAGGGGCAAGGCTGTCTCAGGGCAGCAGGGGCTGGGAGGGGATCCGCCTAGAATCACCCTCCCACCCCCCACCCCGGGCCTCGCATTCAGGCCCGTCCCCTCCCTTGGAGGCTCTCGGAGTCCGTAAGGCCCCGGAGATGAGCCCCTGCGATGCAGCTCGTCCCCTCCTCGCTGGGGCCCTTAACACCTTTTAGAACCAGCAGGCCAGTCAACAAAGAGTCCGAGCCGCAGAACCCACATCTGTTCTACAGAATTACTGACTGCTTAATGCAGATGACAGGCTGAGCCCCAGATGCTACCAAACAAGGCAAGAGAGCCCAGCCGGAGCTTCGGGGCTGTCTCACCGACAGGACGCAGAGCTGTGTGTGAGTCAGGAGAGACGCGAGAAAATCTCACCTCTGGCCTTCAAGCCAGAGTCCTTGGCAATTCTGTTTCCCCATCGTAACACCAGAGACACGCTGACAAGGGCCCTTCCCCCTTCCCCTGCCCATGTCACAAGAGAGGGTTAATTACTGCGTAGATAAAATCAGATAGTAGATAAGAGTGCCCTGACATTATTTTGAATTAATAGTTGTTTTCAGGAAAAAAACTGCCCGACTCTCTTTTGGGAAAAAAAAATGCTTGTGAAATTTAAAATACCTTGTTACATTTTTTTTTAAATTGTTCTTTCTTTTCTTTTCTTTTCTCCTTAGGGAAAGAATAAATGGAATAATTTAGCCTCAGCAAAAAGAAAAAGGAAAAATGCTCTGAGTTATCAGAAAGAATGAACTTTCTGTTTGTTGTTTTTTAAACAACAAACTATCACTGTAAGAGACAGCTCGGCTTGGGAACGGACGCACAGCTCACGTGCACAGCACGCTGACTGCTGCAGAAGCTGGTGGCCGTGCTTCCTCCTGAGACAGAAGCACCCACCCACGGTGCGCAGTATTTCAGGGGCTACATCATCACTCTCTCCGCCATCAAGTCAAGTGCCTCCTAAGAGGGCACAGAAGCCACTGAAAGGAGACCAGATTCTGTGCATGCACGCATCCCCAAGCCTGCAGACGTATCAGAATTGTCACAGCTTTAGGGAACTGTCCTTCTGTCTTCCACCCACACTGTTACCTTGGTCTGTTTCTTTTCTGTGTAGCAATTGTGATACAGCTCACCCCAGGAGACAGCTCTAGGGGGTCTGGTTACTAATTTATCAACAAGTGCTCCTGGGCCACCTGGCTCCCCATCCCATGAATAAAGAAAGGACTTATTCTAGTGAGGCTCCCATGGATTTCTCAGCCCCTGGTCTGAAGGTCCTTCCAGGTCTTCTGTAAATGTTTTCTCTGCTCACCCAACAAGGACTGAGACTATGATGAGGTGGTTTGAGTTGGTGGACCTTTTTGCTCTTACATTTAGAGTTGAGTCTGACATTTAACAAATCACCCTTCTTCCCTTTAGAGGTTACTACAACTTTAAATTGAATTTCTTTTCATTTCTTCAGTGCCTGCCAAAGAATTAAAATAATCAAACAGCTATCCTAAAAACCATGAACTCGTCCTGACTAAACTTTAAGAGTCTCACCTAACGTAAGAAGTCAGCAGGTTAAGAACCCAACTTTAAGTCCAGAATTTTTTTTTTCCATGACAATTATGATTTCTCGTTTTAAAGACAAGAGACTATTAGGAAGTGCTGGGAAGAGCCAAGCAGAGGAGGAGAGGAGCTTCAGAGTACAGGGAATTGTCCTGCCCTCTCACTGTAGAAAACTCGTTTTCAACCGTTACACAAACAGTCATCCATCCGCATCACCCAACCATCCCATCGCGGGGCTTTGGCTCGGGGAGGCCGGGACAGGAATCACAGTGGGTGGCCCAAGTAAAGAAGGCACCTTCGTAGTGGCTTGTGAAACGAGAAAACACACAAGCAAGGGTTTTCCAGGTCAAATCTAAAGAACATTTGCTCAGCCAGGGTCATGGAAAAACCAGGAAATCTACCAGCAGAGCAGTCTCTGGGTCACAGAGCTGCCTGTCAGTGCCTGCCGGCTCCCGCTTAGAAGCGAAGCCAGGGGCTACGTGTGCATTAGGTCAGCCCACAGGGCACATTCTGTGTTACAAAATCTAGGGAGGAATCAGAATTCTTAGAAATGTTCAAGAGTAAATAACTGCATTTACTTTCCTGGGAGAAAAGACACACAGATACACACAGAGGTACATGTGCACACAAAGGAATTCTCCGGGGTCTATGGTTTCACTGAGTATATAAAGTTGACCACTGTAACCTGAACATCAGTGTTGAAGGTAAAAGCAGTGACTTCTATGTCTCTCTCTCTTTTTTTTTTTTCCTTCAGTTAGTTGTAAAGGAAAAGCTAACAATTATCTTATCTTCAGGGGAGCATCACTAGGGACACTGGGAATAGCTCCACAATTGATGAGAATTTGGAGTGAAAAAAGAAAAAGCTCACTGCTTCCCATGGGACATCGGGGTGTCGGCAGGATCCTGCTCCTTTTCATCACTGCCTCCCCTTAAATGTGCAAATGAACACCCCACCTGGAGCGAGTAGAATGGTGGCCCCTCAAAAGACATGTCCACCTTCTGACCCCCAGAACCTCTCGATGTGACCTTCCTTGGAAAAAGGGTCTTTGCAGGTGTAATTAGGTCAAGGATCTCAAGATGAGATCATCCTGGGATACCCAAGTGGGCTCCAAATCCAATGAGAAAGGTGTCCTTATAAGAGGACAGAAGAGGAAAAGCCATGGACACACGCAGAGGAGAGGGCATGAGAGGGCATGAGAAGACAGAGCCGGGGGTTGGAGGGACAGCCACTAGCCAAGGGGCGCCTGGAGCCACCGGAGCTGGGAAGAGCCAGGAAGGATTCGCGCCTGCCGACACCTTGACGTCAGGCTTCTGGTCTCCAGACCTGCGCAGGGTACATTTCTGTTGCTGTAAGCCACCAGGTGTGTGGTCACTGGTTAAGTTAGCCACAGGAAACTAAAGCACCGCCTACCATCCTCACCCCCAAATCAACTGTTAGAGGAACTCTAGGTTCATCAAAATCTTTTGCTGTCACCTCCTAACCCCCCCCAGAAAAGTCAATCAGCTGCTTATAAAACACCTTACATTCAACTTCTTCCTCGAATGTATATCCCAAAGCAAGACACATTTGGCCATGGCAAACTGAATTTTTAGCACCTACACTATATTATTATGATGTGGATTTCTGTCCTTTACAAAGTTACAGATGGTCACATGTAGCTTAATGGGGCCACCAGCATCATTTGTCCACGCTTGTTACCCGCCAGGGCTGGAGAGCTCTGTCTTGCCCGTATCACACCAGACAGGGTAACAGGTTATTTCACTATGTCAATCATAACAGTATCTCTACATGTGGCTGAAAGCCTGAACAGGCCAGTTGTGCCTTTTCTGTAAGTTCTGGGCATGACACAGTCAGACAGACCTAGTGAGGGAGTAGACTGTCTTGGCTAGGAGATGACAGAAGAGCAAGCTGCGAGATGCCAGCCGTATAAAATCTGCTGGAGGAACTTATTTCCAAATTACTAACAATAAAATGCCCACCCAAAGAAGTGAAGAACACATCTGAGTGCTTTCCTAAACAGCACGACCACCTCCCACCGCTGGGCAGGAAAGAATTCTCTTACATTCCCGTTCTTTGCTCCTCCTGTGATTCACGCACAACTGCCTGGAGCTGCATTTCTGGAATCTGTATCTGACACGATGGTGCTCAAACACAAGGGCAAAAGGGAAAACAGAGACCTGCAAGGATGCGCTGGCACGAAACTCCAAAGTGTTGGAGGGGGCAGATCCGGTGTGTCTTTGGGAGAAGGATGGGAGTTACCCTGCAGAGTCCCAAGAGGGGCTGACCACCAGGTGGGGTTTCCAGAGAAGGAAGAACATACACAAATCTGTTCACAGCTCCCCCTACCTTACTCAGTATTCATGCTCACACAAAGGCATCAAGGCTCCTTCTGTCCAAACCATCCCGGTTATCCAGGGCTCTCCCTTCCAGAAAGGTAAATACGTAGCGTGTGACAGAGAACTCACACTTGGTGCACTGGTGTTTCCTCCGGCCCCTCCCGCCCTCCCCCGCCCGCCAAAGCTCACACGTAGGACCACCTTCTAGGCCCCCTTCACTTACCTCTGGTAGTGTATCCTCCAATGACATAAATTTTCCCCTTACACTCACACGCAGAGAACTCAGCCAGGGGGTTTGGTAAGGGTGCCACGAAATTCCAGGCATCCTGTTCAGGGTTGTAACACTCAACATTAGAAACGGCCTGCCCACCGATGGCATAGAGTTTTGAATTAACAGCCACAAGTTTGAAGTTAGACCTGAAAGAGACACAAAGGCCCAGAAAGTCAGTTCTTCTGATCATTTCAGAAGTGAGACAGCGAACAGCGTGATCTGCCAAGGCAGTGTGTGAACCCGCGGCACATGGGGAGAAAACGGGCGCTCGGAGCTGGGTGCGCTCTGCCTGGGGACAGGAATGACCCAGCGGCATCTCAAATTTCACTCATCCCCAAGAGCCCACAAGAATGGTGCATTCTCTGACCTTTAGCTGTTGCAGATAAACAATTCGATACAAGGTCTAACCTTGCTTTGTTTAAGCCAAGAACCAAAGACATCTTGTATACGCTAAACTCAGTACCTCTTGCAGAAGCGGGAGCAAGCCCCCGCCCCACCCCTTGTCTCCCCGTCCCCGGCGCACACCGGCGCTGCCCAGGCAGCCAAGCGCGTGCAGAGGGTGGCTGCGACAGGGTGGGCCAGGCACCTGTCTACCACGACTTCCCCCCAGCAGATCACTCGCCCGCCCTCCTCCCTTTGAGGACATCTTCTATCCTGGGTGACAACACAGAAAATAGGGGCAGGTAAGCACCAAACGAATTGAAAATATTTGGATCCAGCATTCTTAGGGTATTTATACATGCTAACTCAACAAATACTTCTATCAACTAATGCCCGCCTACCATAAGAGTAAAATAATTTTAAAAAGAGAAATACACTGGTTTTAAGCCCCATATCCAGTAAGAAAATTAAACTCTGCTTATCAGCTTCAGACACTGAATAAAAGTCTCATGACTTTTGAGCTGAAAAGAAAGAGTTAATTTGTTTCGATGTGGTACACAGGGCTTCACGGACTCCTTGAAGGCCAGGAAGGGTAAGCATTCAGAAGTGCTGGGCCAGGCGACTGCGATGTGGCCACTTGTCTCAAGTTTACAACAGTGTGAGCAGCCACACAAAGCGAGAGACCTGGATCCAGTCCCTGCTCTGCTCACAACCAGCTCCCTGACCCTCATCTCTGCCCTGGAGATAATGACCCATCACAGGGTGGTCGAGACCATTAGGGCAAACAGTGCATCAGAGAGTACTACACAGAGATAAGGCACTGTCACCGTAATTTCTCAGTGTTCTAGTGTTTGAAATAATGACGCCAGACCAGGTGAATTTACAGGCCATATCTAAAGCCAAAACAATGATTTCTTCAAAAGTGACAATGTGCTAAGAAAGAATAGGGGTAGAAGCTACAAATGAAAAAACGATGTAAGAGGGTAGGTTAAAAAGCAGCAGTGAGAGGAAGGGTGTAGCTCAAGGGGTAGAGCACAGGCTTATTAGCATGCACAAGGTCCTGGGTTCAATCCCTACTACCTCCTCTAAAAAACAAAGTAAATAAATAAACCTAATTACCTCCCCCACCCTTGCCAAAAATAAAATAATTAAATAACACAAAGAAAAACAAAAAAGCAGCCGTGAACCAGGAGCCCTGCCTCGTCTCCTGACAGATGTTTTGGTGCATTGCAACAGAGATCATATGTTAGTAACAGCCACCCACTAAAAACTGACGGTTTTTTTTTTTTAAAAGGTGCCTGTAATGCTTACATTTAAATACGTTTTTATATTTACAAATGTTAGCCACTATGTATAAAAATAGATTTTTTTTTAAAGTTTCTTTTGTATACCACAGGGAACTATGCTCAATATCTTGCAATAAACTTTAATGGAAAAAATATGAAAACGAATACATGTATGTACATGTGTGACTGGGACACTGTGCTGTACACCAGAGGTTGACACATTGTAACTGACTGTGCTTCAATAAAAATAAATAAGTAAAATTTTAAAATATATAAATAAATGAGTTTTAGCTTAGCTTTGCCTTTCAAATCAGAGAGTGAATAGAGTCTTCTTCATCAACAACCTCACAGTGTCCATTAAACGCAGCCAGCCATTCAGGTTTTCATGTCAACAGACTTCACCGGGGTGGCAGTGACTGGGGGGGTCCCTGGTTCATGTTGCTTACCTTTCCTGCTGCCAATGGTCCTTAAAATCTGACCACGATGCCCTCTCTGTGTGTGCAAATTTGGGGAACCAAAGGAAATAAAAGCTTGCAAATAAGCACTAAATTTTACCAGCCCACAATTTGTGTTTGCTCCCCAAGGTACACAGATAGTAAATCTTGTAAGATCAAAACAGGTTTTGATTTCCACCCAGCATAATCATTTGTCCTGAGCAATACGTAAGGGGCTTCTTTTTGAGGCTGAATGAATAGGCAGTGACAAGTACACAGCTCCATCTCGCCAGACCCCAACATGCTCAGATTCACCTGAAGAGAGAAACACTTTTCAATACTGAGTTTGTCTGATGATGAAATTGCCACCCGAAAGCAGGCCACTTGATGCAGAGGCAGACGCCGAGGGTTAGAGGTCCCCAGGCTTGTACCGGGGACTCTCAGCTCCACCACTCAACAGCTCTGCGACCTTGAACAAGTCACTGAATCTCAGGTGATCTGAGGCTCAGTTTCCCCATCTGTGAAGTGGGAGAAAGAAGGGCGCGCTGAGAAAGCTGAGAGGGCAACCTGCAGCAAGAGGTCACTTAGAGGGGATGCCTTTCTGCACGTCACTGTCTGCATTTCTTAACCTCAGGAGGATCAGTTTCTCATCTGTCAAGTGCAGCAGCCACAGGCCGTAATGTACAAAGTGCTGGACGTCGGTACAAAGTGCTCCCTCATCCATAAATTCCTGCCAGTCAGCATGTCGTTGCCCATCCTCTGAAAGTGCCTCTTCCACTCTTCACCTCCTGAAGGGTAAAGGAATGAATCCAGGCTATCCATTATTTTTTAAAATTATCATCTCGTCAGTGTATCCTTAATAGTGATCCCCAACATACTCCACTGAGGAGGCAAAAAGAATTTTTAAACCAAATCATAAATTTGTTGTAGCTACATACTTGACTTACAGTAAACAGAAATGAAAGTGAGAAAAATTAGATGATGATTTAATTTCTACTTCACTTAGAAGAGATGAAAAGCTCTCTAAATCCTTAAGAGCTAAGGAACATGAAACACGCTAACCAGCAGCGCACAGGAATCAGTGACCCATGAGAACTTACACGACCGCAGGGATGCGGGATGCAGAGGGGTCTGCGCAGCTCAGGGTGCAGGTTCTGTGAACCTGTGCGAGTTAATGAAACTCGTTGAGCCTCGGTTTCCCCTTTGGGGAATCAGGGCCAATAACAACACCCATCTCACAGAGA